CTGTAAGAATTTTTTTCCCTAAGGCCAACTTTTAAATGCTTGCTTGCCCTCTCCCGACCCAGGTTGAAAGATTTGGGTCGAAAGGTAGGTGGGGAATTTTTTTTTCTTAGAAAATTTCAACATCAATGCTGAATTTTCAAACTATATTTTCGAATAAAAATATAATTGCTTCCTGGAGGTTAAAATAAGTTTTGAGTCGGGCCATTCTTAGCCAGTCGGTCGGGAGAGGGCAACCAAACAATTTTTTAAAGATGGCTTTACGAGGGTTGTCCGTAAAGTTCGTGGACAACCTTGATAATAACTGAAAAACTTTGATAAGAATACATGAAACATATTATTTCCATTAAATTCATGTTTCATTTCATCACAAACAAAGCACAAAATAGTTATATTTTTAACAGATACAAAAAAGACACACACTCATACCTAGCACTAAAATGAAAATTCTTGACGTTACCCAAAGTCAAAAGCTAAATACATTTAACTTTACTCAACGTAGTCACCGTTTAACTCAACACATTTCTTATGTCGCTTTAACCAGTCATCAAAAATGTGCACAAACTGTTCTGGTTTCATACATGAAATAATATTTAATACTTCCTGTCTCAGATCCTGCAAATCATTATACCTCTGTCTGCGTAAAAAGACTTTATGTATGGAAATAGAACTGTTAGTCGCCGATCACTGTCAATCACGTCACGACCTTCATTTTTTACAGCACTGCAATCTCGGAAAGATGGTCTTTCTTCACGCATGTCATCCTGTAAACTGTCCCTTCCGTCCGAAAATCTTCTGTGCCTGGCTGTTTAAAGAATTTATGAGTGTCTGTTGGTGTTTTTCCGATGTCAACGCAAAATTTTATCACTGCTCTCTGCTCCAATTTTTCCGAAAATGATCCTTTTTCGAACAATGACGATCCTGTCTTAATAGATTCTAACCTCAATTTCCCTGCCATTTCGAAACTTTGAACATTCAAATTTTACAGGTTTGACGCTAAAACTTTTGTCAATGTCATAATGTGAAAGTCATCCAAACTTTCGTGGAATTTTACAAAATACAATTGAAATGTTAAGTGATAAGTAACTTTTTAATTAAAACATTGCCGTGCTCCGGGTCACCATCCCAAGTCTAATAATGAAGTCATAAATGTAAATATACATTTTAAATTGAATAAAATTTCACATTTTGTGATTCACATATAGTAAAGGATTATAAATATGCTAATAATAAATATCTATAACACAACTTTTATTCATATTTTAGCTTGTCCACGAACTTTACGGACAACCCTCGTATATTATTTTATATTATATTTCCATATAATATTTTAAGAGATTGTTTTGTACTGTTTGTAGATTTTCTAAATGAAGTTTGTGATGTCCTTCTGCAGAATTATGGGGATCGTCTCAAAGTTGATCCGATGTCAGACGATCTATTCCAGGCTTTGACCAAGATAGGGTTTAAAAAAGAAATAACTGTTGTGAGTTGCATTAATAATCAGAATGATGAAAAATGTTTGAGTTTTGTCTTTAAATAAAAGTTCAAAGAAAGCCCTTGTTGCCCTTAACATAGTGGTTAGAGTCGTGGAATAAAGAAATGGCCCTTACGTCGAGGCCGGTTCCAATCCCACATCCGAACGTGGAGAGTGATCCGTATAATTCGAGGCCCCTTATTTCAGTAGTTGTTGGCACAAAAAGATCCCTCACTGTTCAGTTGCCATAAGTACCCATCTCAGGTTAAATTCGCAGCCTTCCACCTGCAATCGGTGGCGTCCCAATGTTAGTTAAAACTCTCGGAAAGACTTAAAATAATCAAGAAAAGAAACGGCGGTCTCGGAGCCAGGATGGTGAAAGGGCACAGAAATCTTAACGTAATATATATAACCGTTAAAAAAATAACAGCTAGAAAGGGACTTAAATATGAGTTAATTTAACTGAATTTCTTGCAACCCGATTCTGATATCAAGGTTTCTGTTGCCACTAAAATGCTAATGATATTTAAGAAACTTTTATTTCCCATGCTAGAAAACAAATTAAATCAATTAAAACACTCAATAGAATTACAAATTTTGCTTTTCTTCACATGCATCTGTACTATGGGTGCATTTGAATTTGCAGAAACTAATGAGGTAGGAAACTTCTTCTCTGGATAAGCGGATTACAGATGTTTCCCAAAGATACCCAGTTAAATATGTTGTCCAAAATTTCGTCGACCTTGGAAGGTAACGCAATATTTCTAAAGTAGTCCAAAGTAGTTTCAGTAAGTTCATGTTTTTTTCTATTCACTTAGCCTTAAATATGATCCTATTTTTTATCTGATACATGTCTTGTTTGATATTGTGTTGATTTACCAGGGACTAGTAAAAGGTAAAATTTACTAAAATCTGTTTGTTTTTCTGTTTGTTAACTTACATGAAATGATGCCTGTATAATCACAGCTGATATAACACAAAATAGAGAGGCCATTGAAAAAGCATACCTTAATTTTGATGGTAAATAGAATAGATATCTTACAGTAAATTACAAAATTATGCTTGAAAAAAAAAAAAGGAAACAGCGTTAATTGTATAAATATATTTATCAATGTTGTCAGGTGTTTTATAAATGATTCTAGTGAATATTAAATGAAAAAATATACCTTAAAAAATCTATAGTTTACTGTGGTATCTGATGTTTTAGACGTCCGTGTTTGCCCTGCTCCTGATATGTATTATTTGAGTGGTCTTTTGAGTTTGAATACTGTTCGTTATCTCATATTTCATAAAGAAAAAACTAAGTATTATAAATTTGGGTCATTGTATCCAAGTTGTTTGCTATATACATAATGTATACTGTAAATGTTGTTGTAACGTGAAGATACAAAGCATTTGTAATTGTCTTTTTACTATTTTCAGAGCAAAAACCTTGTGGAAAACTGTACACATATGGAATACATGTGTTAAATAAAAAGTTTGACGTAGATATTAATGGAATAGGTACAAAATGAGTCCAATATTAAATTTTGTATCAAAACTTTAAACTAATGGTTCGAAAATTTTAAATTCATTATTATTAGTAACAGTAATGCTGTTGATTAAAGTTTCGATAAAATTGATTCTTTGAAATTGCAAAATCTTAGACGTAATGTGCAAGTCATTTTCAGTAATCTTATTTTGTAGCTCATGCCAAAATAATCGACATACTTCAATCTCTTTTCAGATAAGCTGGGGATGAGAATATCTTTGGAAGAAGGGGAGAAATTGATGCTTCATGGAGGGAATGGAATTAGTCATAAATACACTAGTCAACAACTGGAATATCTATTCGAAAAAGCACATTTAAGTATTACGAAGAAATGGAAGAATGAAAACTGTGCCTTACTCCTCTGTGAGGCTAAAAAGTAACTCAATAGGTATTCTTCATTTATAGTGCCATATCGCATGTGCAAAAGAAATAAAATATTTGAATTGAAACTTATATTTGATATGTCATTTGAAGTATGAAAGTATATATAGATTTTTAAAAATCAAAATTTGAATTTCATACAACATGTTGTGTTTTGTTGACCTCCAAATAGATTCCTTTAGAAGGCTAAATTTACACTTAGATATTTACGTGATGTCGGTGGGCCATAATGTGACCCCCTCCAAAAAAAAGATAAAATATAACAAATTTTAGATATCACACATCAAATCTTACTATCTATAAACAATAACGAAACAGTTTATGCACATTTGTAAAAGGAACGTGGTGTCGAGGAATTGACTAGTAGTAAAAAAAAAACAAGATATAATTTTCATTTGGAAAACATTATTTTCTATCATTTTAACAAGATTTTCATATCTGATAAATATCAAAATAATAAAAATATTCCCCAAATTTGCTTCACTGTATGATTCTGAATAGTCAGGTGAAAAGATTGCACATTTTCTAAAAGATTCGAATGTGAAACGTTTCCCTTATTACCTTATCACAAAGTGTACATATAATGACAAGTAAATAAGGCACATATAAAACCAAAAAATTGTATTTGCAGAAAAATGAAATGATAATTTCAAATTATTGAATATCAGGAATTTTCTGTTTTCTAAACTTCTTGTAAAAATGAATCAAGTCATGGTGTATTGTAGAGTAAATGTTTGATTTATAGAGACACCCCCCTTTCCGCCATGTAATTAATACAGGAATAAATTTTAAAAATTCATCTGCAGACATTGATTGATTCAATTAATTCATATTTTTTCCTAAATTGGAATCTCTCAACGTGGTCGTTTCAGTCCTTAAATAGACTTTTTCTTTATGACGTTGGCTATCTAGGTATTGGCGACAACAAGCACGTTACATACAAAAAATTTGGTCTCACCATTAGAATCCCGACACGATGATTCAGTGATACGAATCTAGAAAGAATACCAATAGAACCCAAAGAAAGAGGCAAGCTAGACAAAATGGAAGGATGTTTTAATTTAGTTTCCATCGATAAAACACGCAATCAATTGTAGATCTTCAAGTGCTCTCAGAATAAACCTGCAGTTATAGAAATAAGTGGAAGAAGCAAGTTCAGTCGAAGAAGTGTTTGCTGAAAAGATTGAATGATGACAGGATTTAAAATCTCCATCAAATAGAGTAATCTAGTATCGACATAGGGTACAGCATATTCAGAGATACATTGTTTGTTCCCTCTGTAAAGGATGCCCCTTTCTAGATTCAACACGTCGGGTTAATCTCAAGTTCATTGACAACAACTTCTGCATAGAAAATTATGAATCAGCATTCGGAAGATGTATACAAAGTTCGGGCTCCGGGACCATAAAACTTAGTGAGCTCATCTTAGTTAAAAACTTAGTTTTCATCTCGGTTTCACTTTTCCACGAGATATTCCTTTTTGAAAAGTGAGATGAGATTAAATGTGAGTTTATCTTAGTTTTATGACTCCGGTAGCCAGATATGCAAGTAATATATTTCTCTTATGTCTCAGAAGAAGTCAGGTCAAAATCACCAGGGCTAAAATGAAGGAAGTAGTACAGTTCTCTCAAAATTTATTCTAAAAACAGCTATTATCTACATAAAAAATAAAGTTTTGTATGTCTAGAAGAAGAAACATTTGCAAACATTATCTGCACAATGCCAAAAGCCGTCTCTTCCATGAATGCTGCAATGTCCTAACTTCAAGCAGTCGTTGACATAGGTGCATGCTGTTGCTGAAAAAGAAACAATTTTTTTACATATAGCGTAAGCAATGGGACCTACATGTATGCTCGAAACTTAATATATGTCATCTACTTGCCTGTGCTATTTACCATCGAATGTCGTATGTGATGATATATTTGTTGAATTTTAAAAAAAAAACAAAACTCTTCATTGAAATAATGTTTTCGTTTATAGCCTTAAACCAAATACAATGTTAAAATATTCTTCATTAAATATGATCTAAAGATAAGGCATACTTTAGGTATGCATTTATAATGCAAAAAATGCATATTGCATAGGTGTATGGGTTTTTTTTCAACTTTAGCATAAAGGTGATAATCGCTTAAATTCAAATTTTTTTATTTTAGCTTATTGTGATTATAAAAGACGGTATGAATTGAAAATTATATTACTCGGAAGCACGAGTTGTACAGAAAGTTTCTTACAAGTTGCATGTTCACATGTACACATTCCCGAGTGACAGCCTTTCACGTAGCCGTTAGCACATTGTAATTCTGTACTGGTGCAGACACCGTCAGAATTACATCTAGCAGCCTGGCTTACTCCTACTATAAAAAAATATATATGTCACATTTTAAGCATTAACGAATGATGATGAATTCCAAAGACTGTTACACCTGGTACAATAGGATAAGATTCCCTTCAAACCACCTTTTTTTTTTTTTTTTTTTTTGAAAAGTCTAAGGTTACACCTGCTCGAATTATTTCCTTCTAATGCTTATTTATCATTTGATACCTTTCAATATCATTAGATTTAGTGTTCTGTGCAAATCTAAATGGTTTATTTTTTGCTATGATGAAAAACTTGCGATCTTTATAAAGATAATGCAAAATCTGATCTTTCTAAAAATACAGAAAATTTAAAAAAAAAAATTATAAAAAAGACATATATCATTGGAAATGGTTTCATCCACAGTATAAAGGACAATCTTAAAGTTTATATTATATAACTTTATACATATGTATGGCTTAGGCTAAGGATGTAACCAAGCAGCATTTTAAAGTAAGTTAAATTTCCCTTTTTTAATGAATTCTGAGGTCTTTTTTAAATTACATTTTTCATAATCATTTTAACTTTGCTTATTAAATGAAAAATGAAAAATAAAAAAAAAACACTTGTCTGTCAACATCTTTATCTATTGAAACTCACAGAGTATTTTACTTTGATGAAATTTACAAAGCATTTACTTACATAGACAGACAAGAAGAACAAACGTTCGCAAAAAATCCATTTTCTTTGATCATAATATAATTTTTGACAGACAAAGATGGTCATATATATATTGAAAGTAGTGAGGTATCAAAGGGGGAGAAATGTCATTACATATATTTCTTATAAATCAGCAATACACTGAATTAAAAGGTTTCCTAACTTAAGAAGTTAATTTCCATTTTGTCATAATATAATGAAAATAATGAGATGAAGAACAATATTTAGAGAAAAACGTGTCTTCTTTGGGCCCTCATCGAATACAATGGCGTGATAGAATCATACGAGTCTTATCTCCCTCGTCAAAGTTATATTGTCAATGTCATTTTAACCCTTTATCAAAAGCCTTATCGGGGGATACATTTTATATCTGTAAACTTTAAAAAAGCAAAATATGTACTTACTGAAATAATAATCTCTTTATCTTTACACCTGTCTTGCCGGTTTTAGGTAAACATCTCTGTAATGATGATTCAAATATTTATAATGATATAATAAGTAACATTAGGTACAAAATACAGTAGATCCTGTCTAATGTGACATGCAATGGGATACAAATTTTGTTTTGAATAGACAGGGTATGTTGAATTACAGAGTGTAAAGAATATGGAAAATAGTCAAATGGGAATAAAAATAAAAGTTATGACGATTCTGAAAATTGTTGTCAAAGTTATGGCGATTCTGACAATTGCAAAGTTTAAAACCTTTTATCTAAATTAAGATATAGTTCAAATGCATTTCTGAGACATTATAAGCCCTAGCCATATAAACTTTCTCACCATGCACGCTGAAATTTTTACTGTAGCAGTATTGATAATTCTCCGGAGGAAGTTTTTAACTCCATTTTACAAAACTGATTACGACTAACATACAGAATCTTGAGCTAAAATGTAAAATCTTGTGAAATTGATTATTCCGTTTAAAATTTATTTTCATAAATATATCTTCAAAATTCTTTTAAAAATGATTAATACCATGTATTTTCAAAATTAAGAAAGGAAAGAAGTCTGTAAAATAACATTCTGGCATAGGTCATTTAATTTTACGAAAGAACCCCTGAAAACGACATTTTAAACTTGAATTACATCGTCACAACTATTTATTTCAAAAAATAATTTCATAAAGTCCCTACAGTGAAGATCTGTTAATAAAATTATCATTTGATTTGATTCATGTGTAAGAAAATGAATCAGAAGAATTTTTAATAACGAGGAAGGTGTTTCTTAAGAACTGTTATTGTACAGTTCAAAGTTTGCAAATGAGTTTTACCGGTATCATTGTTCAAGCCATTTGCTCCAACGTTTCATCGCCAAGAAAACTATGATGTCATTTAAATAGTGTGCAGAAATAAACCAATAATATCACTGATGAACACGTTTCAAAAACATTTTCCCAGGAATTAAATGTGTAAACAAGAAAAATAAAAGATGGATACGTAACAAATATTTGTTCGAATGTTGCAAAACTGTTCAATGCAATTCAGAATTTTCCCATCAATCTTTCAATGTTAATTCTTTCACAAATTTCCTTGTTATCAAATTATCATTAAAATTATAAGTGGCATTCTTTTCTTACAGAAATACCAGTAACCTTTGCAGTAAAACAGCAAATACAAACCGAGGAATAATAGAAAAACAGTGCATTTATCGTTAGTGTGGAAACTGACTTCGTTAAACATTGCATCAAAATTCTACAAAACAAAGGCCTTAGATGGGCCACACATACATAGGGGCTAATCTCTCTCCTCTCTTCTGGGTCGGATGTGTTGAGATAACTAATGGTTTTTATCTTAGAGTCCGCCATCCTTCTATTTACAAACATTCTGATCCGGGGTGGGGAAAGGCTTTCGTTTCACCATGACTTAAAAATTGAGACAAATTGATCCCTTTGGGAAATATTTAAGGGGTTAAATTGGGTGTTGTTTTTCTTTTCCGACTAAAGATTGTACACTTGCTATCCTTAATGAAAATGCATACATTGACTTCATTTCCCTAAAACGAATTAGATGAGAAACATTGCCCAAAAACTGCCGATGTGTTCTTCAAAAAGTTATGGTTAAGCTCCATTCTCTCCCCTTTGAGGCCTCATTGAGAAAGAGTGAAAGTTTATATGAAAATTTGGCATATATTGTTAAACAGAGCCCTCAAACACAAATGTTAGAGGACATGTGCATTGAAAATTCAATATGGTTTTAAGAAAACTCAATCCATTTTTCAGTGTGATTCTTATTATTATTCTTAATGGTAAGTATATATCATTTCTTATTTTAAAAATATGAAATAAATATATGTGTAAATATGTTATATATTTTTTAGAGGTAAAACTTTTTCATTTCGTGAAAATTTATTTTTTCCTCTTTTTACTTTTTAAGACCTAAATTCACATGCTGTACAAAATACTTTTTAAATAATAATATTTAAATATGTTACAAAACTGTATAATATAATATTTATCATATTAATAACACTAAATATTACGTGCATACTGGCAATAAAATTCTTTGCAAAATTCAGAATGTATCTACATGGCAATCTTATTTTAAAAAAAATAAATAACAGAGATTTTCATAAACGTCTTTTGTGATTTTGTAAGAGTGTTTTTTTTTCTTTATCTTAAAATCTTTTTTCGCAATCTCTTTTTTTAAATTAAAAGATATATAATGATATATTAACAAACATTTCTGAAAGGGTTACACTTAGGCTTCCAAAATAGAATTATTTCATCTAAACTAAGATAACTTTTTTTTTGAATTGGCAAAGCATAATTTTATTGTGGATCTAGATATTAAAAGATTTTATCTGAAGTTTTCAAATTAAGATTTCATTTACAATTTTTTTCTTTCCAAAATATATATATATATATATATATATATATATATATATATATATATATATATATATATATATATATATATATATATATATATATATATATATATATATATATATATATATATATATATATATATATTTTTTTTTTTTTTTTTTTTTTTTTTTTTTTTTTTTTTAGGAGAAAATGTTTTAAAACGATAGCTTTCATTAAATCCTTTTTTTTTCTTTTTTCTTTTTTTTTTTTTTTTTGCATTAAAAATGTATTTTCTGAATACACTAACTTTCAACTTCAACTCATTCTTCAATTCCTTTTAAGAGGTGGTTATCTTTATCAAGGAAAAATTACAACTTTATATCAGTTCCATAATTATCTTTAAGTTTCTGAAGGCTTTGTTAAGCATGTTTAATACACTTTAAAATAAACGGAAATAAATTTATATGCAACTATTTCATGACATAATGTATATAGGGTTATTTTCGCACTTGCAAACGAATTTACCCTGTTTTAAATTCACCAAAACATAGATGTGTTGAAAGATAGATAACTGTTTCATTTGAATTCAGCCACTGACGACGGGGGCAAAAATTTCCCGTATACAGTATTCGTTATTATGATAAAAAGGTGAATAATAATAAACGTTGTTTCATTTGAACAAATTCTCCTTTTGTGTTTCAAATCCTCTCCTATGTCAAAAAGCATTCTTTAAATGGCTTGAATCTTTCTGGGTCATAAAGTATACCACAATTTCCTAATCAAACCAAATTCTCAAAGTAAATTCCCTAGCTTGAATTAGGAACTGAAGAACATTCTTTTCGGTAACACAAACAATTTGATTGAAATCAACAAGCACTTTATTTAATTACTATGTCTTTCTTATCTCTATAGGGGTCTCTGCTACGGTAACGACATCATCCGGTATTAGATGTTACACGTGTTCTTTCACTGTCAACAAACCGTACGTATTGAGAGAATGTGTCAACAACACTGATGTTATATCTATACGACAGTATACCCGACCCTGTGAACATTATTGCTATACAGAAGAGAGATACAACATACGTAAGTGACCAGTAATTTTGGTGTTGAAGAGAGTAACATATTGTCTCATTTTCAAGTGTGAAAATCTTTTAACAATACGAAAAAGATCAAAAAAAGAGAAGAAAAGTACATAGAATCAAAGTTTATTGATAGCTAAGCGACGAAACATTTTCCTGATTTGCTGCAAAATATTCTCTGCATGGTTCGTAATTCTGAGAGCTTTGGAGATTCCTTGATGACATTATAAACCCCGTGAAAATCTTTTATTAAATCAAATGCCATCATCATTTCAACTTTCAAAAAAGTAACGTAAAAGGTGTCCATTGATTTGTTGAAATGAAAGAATTCTCTTTCCAAAAAAAAATCTAGAAGCTAAACATGACACTTGTGCAAAACAGAAAACCGGGTAATAGTATGAACTTTTTTTTCAAAAATTCAGGCGCAGAATTCTATAAATTAGTTTTTGTAACAAAATATTGTCGTTTCATTCGTATGTCGATTCGATATATCACAATGAACTTGAAATTAAAGACACCACAGAGTCTGCCACATCTGTTTCATACTTGGATGTTTTACCGACTATAATGATGAGGGCCAACTAACAATTAATTGTATGACAAACGAGATGACTCAAACTTTTCCATCGTACCTTTCCTTCTACATGTAGTAATATCCCGCTATCACCTGCATATGATGTTAAGTCTCCCAGCTTATTCGATATTCAAGAGCATGCTCCGAGTAAGATCAATTTTTTAAACCAATGCAGGCTACTGACAGATAAGTTGATGTTACAGGGATTTCAACAATTTCGTTTAAAGTCAGCAATTCGTAAATTTTATGGTCCTTATAATGACATTGCAAACGAATATATTCTATCATTGGATCATATATATTCTATCACTGGATCGTATTTTGGCTGACTTCCTTCATACCAATTGTTAGGCCTTTGATTTCATACTGAATTTGAGTACGGAATGTTCCGTATATCTGATCAATACATAGGGCTCACGGCGGGTGTGATCGGTCAACAGGGGATGCTTACTTCTCCTAGGCACCTGGTCCCACCTTTGGAATTCCCAGGGATCCGTATTTTATGCCCTTTTCACAGAATTGTATTGTTTATAGATTTTTTTTCAGATCGAACACTGTTCGTTATCTTCACATTTTTTCCATTACCTTTAGGGAACCATGTACTAGTATTTTGAAAGATCGATAATAATTATCTAACAATGAATTATTTTTTGAGTTTGTTCTTAGCATCTAAGGGTATGTTTTACAGTATCAAACATTATATAAAATATCTTCGAACCTGTATGTTTAACTCGTTTATATAATCCGTGAATTTTTCCGTTTTAAGGTCTGTTCCTCAGGTAATTGCAATAATTTTTGTAGATTTGGCATTGTTTCCTTATCGGTTGAGAGCTGGGACTTTTTTCACAACCACTAATGATGAAATGTCGCTTAATGATAGAAATTTCATTAAGCGTTGCAATTGCAACGCTTAATGTCATGAATTATTGCATTAATAGTTGACATTTTCAATCGCTAATTGTCAATGGCCGCTTAATGATAGAATTCTATCATAAAGCGTCACAAATGCTGAGCAACACTGACAATGACTTGTGAAACAAGCAAATATCTACATTATCGACCCCTAATGATATAAACTAATGTATCATTACGCTTGTTTCATAAACTGTTGATCTTGTAGATATTTGCTTGTTTCATTAATCGTTGGAACTGCTGCTTAATGATACAATTCTATCATAAAGCGGCGATTTAGCATTAGCGGTTGATAGGTCAACTATTAATGTAATAATTCATGGCATTAATCGTTGCTATTGCAACGCGCAATGAAATTTCTATCATTTAAGCGGCGTTTTATTATTAGTGGTTGCTACAAAGCCCCAAACATGAGGTATTTTAGCAGAAAGAATTTTTATCAATTGAACAAATCAACATGTGAACATAATGATCAACAAAAAGATCTACATCTATATTTAATAATATCTATCTATATCATACAATATATGGTGCATCATGACTGTATTGAAAGTTGTTTGAAAACATTAATTAAATGTAAATAAGAAGTCATTTTGCGAACAAAACCTTACTTAGCTTAACTTTCTTCAATAATTGGCTGATTTCTGTACCTTATTGATAACACGTTCGTTGATAATACTTTAATTAAGCAATACTGGGTCTTTTAAAGCCAATTTTAAAAATCTTTTTAATGGGTTTATTTTTGTCTATGTTGTTTCAGGTACAAAAGCGGTAGATTCTGTTTTCCGGTCTTGTCGAGATTATCAGAAAAATGGGTGCACAGAGGAAGGCGGCTTTATTACCTGTACATATTCTTGCATGGGAAGTCTTTGCAACAACATCACAGTGGGAGTAGATCACGTGATTCATTGTGACAACAACCTCTGTTCAATGGCGATCACACTGAAAACTTCGCTTTACCTTTTCATAGTTCTCATCTTAGGTCGCTATATTTAAGAAGAAAATAAGTTATGGACTCTATTTTTTTTCACTTGTTTTCATGATGCATAAAATCTTTGGCTCATAATATGTATTTATTTAATAAATATTTCATATTTGTATTTTTCAAAACCAGGTAAGCTTTTCGTGTAATCTATTGGATTAAATGAATGTTTTTAAAAAGTTGAACTTTTGTCGATGTGTTACTGTTCATACAGAAAATGTGAACTATCAATTAAATTCAGATTTGAATCAATGAATCTTTAAGAAGAAAAATAGATATATTGGTAAGTAAATAAAATATGTAAGGAAACAGTGGACGTCCTCCGATTTGATTGAAATGAAACTGTTTAAGCGGATATAAATGATGGTAACCAAAGCATTCAACGAAAGAAAATCGAGCAAAACAGACACCCAAACAAAGGAGTTAGACAGCACACAAGGATGTTTGGTTTTCTCAGTGATCGTCACAGCACTTCAGTATAACGACAGATTCCTGGCACACATTGAATATCTCATTTTTTACTTTATCAACATGAGACCCGTGGTCTTTGAAGTCATTTTCATGTATATAATTTGTAATGTTTTTAGGTGTCCTTCATCATCTAGGCCGTTTTAAGGTCTGTTCCTCGGGTAATTGCAATAATGAAACATGTTTTGGACAAATTAATGATGATGGGGTGCTCAGAACGGAAATAACAAAGTACATGCTTTTAGAGGATTTTTATATGTTATAGTAATTGTGATTACCCCTTTCAATTTCTTTTGTATCCATTTTTGTTTTGTTTTGTTTTTTCTTAATTTTATTATTTCAACCAACATTTTTTTTCTTACCTAATAGGCAGTGATATATTGGAGGTATTTTTTTTATCTTTATTCCTAAAGAATAATCTCGCAACTAGTGACTGTCTATTCAGACCGCTAGGATGCATAACTATTTTATCTATATGGTACTAGTGTGCACGAATAATCAATACAATTAATTCTTACTTTTCCCTCGTGAGTTTCCAGCATTAAGTATAAAGTCTATAAATTTAATACTTGAAAAAATAAATAAATATGTTGAAAACTTAGAGAAATGTTGAGACTTTAAATGACAGCTATTTAAATTCGTTTATTCATTTGTCTAAACAGCACGTATATTTGAAAAGGTATTAATGAGTTAAATCATTAAAACCACTTCAAAGAGAAACTGCACCTCCGCATCCACTCATCTGGGTGGGACCTCCGAACTAGTCACTGATAAGGAACATTATAAGCAGATTTAAATGGTGGTAACCAAAGCATTCGGTGAAGAAAAGTTTATACTGTTAAAACATGCGGAGTTAGTGTCTACAACGATGAAGTTGGAAATCAAGATGACAGTCTTCCTTTTCTCGATTATCGTAACTTCGTATGTTCCAGGTAAACTGCAATTTTCTTTCAATGTTGAAGAAGATGTTGTTCATTTAAAGGTTTTCTCAATAACTTTTATCAGATAATTTTGATCAAACAAAATGTATTCAGGCAAATGATCATAAACATTTATCTGAAATTTTGTCACCACCATGTGATTTTTGTTAATTGAAGCACCAATACATAGCGATAAAATATTTATCTCAAACATGATTTTAAATAGATTCTTTCACTTTCAACACATAATTATGGATTTGCGGCCCTCAGATATTTTATATTTTTTTCCCAAAAGTTGCCTTGGGTTCGGCTGACGTAAAAAAATTTTCCTGCTTGTCCTGTACCGGTGCTAACTTTCGGTTTAGCGCTGATTTAGAGTGCTTAAATGATACAGAGTCCATTACAACAGTTATTCATTGTAACAGTAGCTGGCCGTGTACATATGGGGAACAGATTGACCAACGTGAGTAGAGTACACATACTACATATACATAATGTCCATATTATACACATATCAGTAATGTTAATCAACAATTCAATATATGTTTCCACTCTTCTTTTAGCAATGAAAAAGAAAAAAAACTCTTTAAAAGCGATACCCATTTTATTAGCCACACGTATTAACTTTGACTGCCCCAAGTTTAACGACTTCACCTCATTATCAATTAAACTAATAAAAAAAATTAATTTACTTAGGTACTAATGAGGTAAAGTCCGTCCGCCGTGGATGCGAACCTTACAATAACATGGGGACAGAGTGTATATCATCCATCCCTAACAAAGACTGTGTCCAGTATTGTTTTTCAGACAGATGCAACAACGACACAAACCGTTGGACAAAGGAAAAAAGAGATCACAATGGAAGTGAATGTTTTGTTTTTAATTTGTTTCTTTTTGTAACCATTCCATTTCTTGCATTTTTTATTTTATTCCCTGCCTAATTCATTTGCTGGGATGAAAATGTTTACTTTCTACAAGTGTAGTATTCTGAGCCTAGTATGGGTGACTGCGGTGATCACTACAAAGTGTTGGACAATATTTATTTTTGACAAGTATGGATTTGTCAGTCACGCCACATCTGCGGATTCTGCTGCCTTTTCCATTTTTTCACTAATGGCTTGAAGCTTGATTATATATTTTTCCAGTTTTTTGTATTGTTCTTCATTTAATATATTTTTTATAGCCATCTGAAATTGAATAAAACATTTCTTGCCATTAGAAAACATTCACTTATGAATAAAGACAGCTTTTCAGTTTGTTTTTGTAATCTGTTTGTTTTAATCGGAAAACTCACCAACTGGGTCTCTTTTTCTGTCATGATTCTGAAGACTTCCATTACGGACTGAACTATCTCTATTTTACGGACTTTGCCCATTAAAATGCTGAAATATTAAAATGTTGGCATTTACGGGTATAATGAGGTTTGTTTCTTTAATCTATATACTTACTGCAGCATATATATTGATCGTCGATGTTCACACTTTTAAAATCGTAATTTTTGACAGTCAATTCATCCGAATGCCATGAACTGAGAAGAGTGGTCTTTTAAACACACTGTTTACCCCTGATACTTTGAAGATTGTTGATTTAAAACATTTGAGCTCTCCTTGTCCTCATCACTTTCAGTCAAAGTAGTGTCTGTAAAAAAGGTTATTGAAAGAGAAATAAGAATATATCAGTTTAGTCCATATTTCTCTGTTAAAATGTGGTTATGAACATGTTGCGCTTTAGAAAAATCCTAGCGATATTTGATAAAAATGTCACCTAGGTTTCTTATTTTTGGATAATAGTATTTCACACTCACCTCCATATTCCTCTGTCAACGTGGCAATGGTGTCCTGTCTCTCAAACCGAGACATACTTCCTGAGTATAATGTCTGCTGAAATTATATAATAATTATATGATTCAAATTCTTGTTTATTAAAATACAGCCACAAGGGTTTTTTCATATAATTAAAGCGTTGAAACCTTAAAAAGTTGTCCAATTGTTACCTTTGTCTCGTCTTGGCATCTTTCTTCGAATTCCTCGAATTGCCCAGTCCAAAAATACTCATACTTTTCAGTGAAGACAGATCCTGCTTTTAAGATAACTGGTTATTAAAATTTCCAGGTGCATTGTGTATAAATTTTCGTGTTTAAAATTGCAAGCTTCTTTTCTGCATAGAGCGCATTTGTGTAGCAGGAAAATTGGAAAATGAAATACAGTATTAATTTATCACATTCAGTATATGAAGTTTCGTCGAAAGTTTTATATATCCCCAAATTTACCCAACATAAAGTAAAACAAGCTGGTGGTTTAAGGGAACAATAAAGATATGGTCATGAGACTTGAATTTTATGAAGGTCATTTCTAGGTCATCATATTTTCTTTCTTCTCATCAAGGAGCAATCTTATGTTTGTATACAACTCATAATTTACTTAAACCTGTGCTTTTTGAATAATGAACGTATAATACATACAAACTTAAGGCATTTGTCTATCCAATCAAAATGGTCGACAAGACAACAATTAATAAACTAGAGCTCACAAAATGATTCCTCCGCTCCCATATGACTATAATGACAATGTCCATTTTTTTAATGGAAAACCCAAAATATTTGTCCGATCAGAACATAAAATAGGAGGAGGTGGACAATTGCACTATATAATATTCTGTGAAAATATCATTAATTTTTATTCAGTGGTATAGGAGGAGGTGCGGATAAGAGATGGGTGCGTGAAATGTTATGGAAAGAATGGCAGTGTCCATGTTTAGCTATGGAAATCCTAAATAACTGCAATCGAAACGAAAAGTAAAAGGTGCACAATGGCACTACGTAATTCAGATTCTGTGAAAGTCTTATTAAATTTTATCCAGTGGAAAAGGATGAGTTGTAGATAAAAGATGGGTAAACCAAATGCAATAGAAAGAATGACAGTGCTTATGTTTTGCTATAGGAAACCCCTAATATCTATCCAACCCAGACGTAAAATAGAAGATGCACAATGTCACTATGTAATAAAGATTTGTGAAAGTTATATTAAATAACAATCAGTGGTGTAAAAGGATTTTGCGGATAAGGGATGGCTATCTCCAAATATAACGGACGGACGGACATCCCATCGCTTTATACACTCCCCCTCTCCCTGCCCCATTTTCCAGGTAAAAAATATATCCCAGACTGTCTTTAGAAGTATAACTTCTTTAAAATCACCTAACTGTAAAGAGCCAAAACTCTTTCATATTAATTCTACTTACTCATACTTTGCAATTCTTTTAAAACGTGTTGAAGTTTTGAAACATCCTCCTTAATTTTCTCATATTTTTTGGGAAATATTCTCTGAACTTCGTCCTGAAATAATAGTTAAGGTCATGTATATACTTTTTTCTAATATGCATTTTTTTATAGTTGTTCATTTTTGCCTTTATATGAAGTGTTTGTTCTATTTACCCTCTTTCTTTCATCTTTAAGCTTTGTTGATGATAAAATGCGTTTTACTACCAATACGTCTTCTACATTTCCAAGTTTCCTTGTCAGTTTCCTACAAGCAAAATCAGGATTTATAATTTACATAATAAACAAGATTCTTGTAAATTTTATAATTCCTGTAGAAAAAATTGTTATATACAGTTTTGTTACTTACGAAAGTATTTCAGAGCTATCCAACTCAAGTTTTCCAATATTTGAGGCTTTTGTTGATGTAATTTTAGATTCACTATCTGATCTTGTTTTATGAGCTGCATTACTTGAGTCCTGGAATAAGAATAGTATATATGTATAATTTAAACACGCATCCTTCTTAAGCACCCATTAAAATCTAAACTGAATTCAATGGATTTAAATTTAACAATTATTTTGACAAAACACAAGAAATAATAATCAATACCCGTAATTTCCACAAAATTATTTCAAACAAGATTTTTTTTTATCGAAGGGAATCGAATTCTATATGAAAATTGACTTTGAAAAAATAAAAATAGTGGTATTTTCTTCAGACCATCCGTTTAAAATAAATAAAGTTTTGGTTTCCAAATGCAAGGTTTTTTGCCAAATTGAGTTGAAACAAACCAGAAATAGTATTGCAAAACCTGTACAAGAAGGAAAGAAAACAACCCCCTCAAGAACGTTCAATTTACACGACCCTTATGTAAACATATGATAGAAATATAGTTTGTTTCATTGGTCCAATAACTAATGTATCTAACCTTCTAATCTGAAAGAAATAAATGCATTTGCTGTTTATGCATACAACAGATTTCATAATTTGTTATTGTTAAATACATGTACAATGAATATGCTCTTCAAAATAAAGTTTTTTCTATATATATATTAAAGAAAAAACATACAATAGCTTAAGTTCAGATTAACTGTTATAGTTCTTAACAAGTGAATTCGTCAGCTTATATTTCTAAAATCATTACTTGTTTTTTTTTATCTGAAAATTTATCACTTACACTCTCAGATGACGAATGGTCTTCAGACAGGGTTTCCAGATTTCCATCCTTTGTTGGTCCTTCTTCTCTAGCATATATACATTTTACGTCTTGTTTCTCACTTTCGTCTATGGAAGACAAAATTTTATTATCAAAATTCAACGCCTTTTATAATGAAGCCCTTTCTTTTCTATTTTAAGGTAAAATATAAGTATAGTATGTCTTTTTTTAAAACTTTTTTTTAAACAAATGGCATGCATTACATCTTTATATACTGAAAAGCAAAAGAAACGCTACTTAACATCCTATCTTAGAGGAAAAAATTTAGAAATAGGGTATAATTTTGTAATTTGTACATCTTCAACTTCGTGTAGTCGGTAATTTAACGGTTGAATGATTTTCATCCGTTACCGTATCAAAGTTTGATCCCGACTTAACAGAAATCAAAAAGTTGCTGTTAAGCAAAAAATTTGGCCACAATTTGGAGTTACAAAGGCTTAATCTGTTAATCATAAGAATTGCAGTTATATTCCGAAAAAAATCTCTTTTCTTTTCCGCAAGTGATGCCAAGGCTTTCTGAAAATGACTTTAAGACCGCATTTCCATTGGTCTAGCTGGAAATTGAAATGAACGAGAGGGTCATACGTCTCATTAGCTTAGTTACAGTCCGTGGACAGGAAGTCTAAGGGTTGCTAGACTGTGCCAGTTTATGGAAATTCGATATCTTAAAAAACAGGCACTTTAAAAGGCTGAGGAATATTTCTTTCGCTCAGACCAAGAGACTGATGAACTTAATGCATCGTAGAATCCGAGCTGCAATTGTTGTGCATGTCACGATTAAAAATTTAATGACGGGGTGGTGGGGTGGAAATATTAACGGATTTCTGTTTCTTTCTACGACGAAAAGATAAAATTCAACGTTTCAATCAAATCTCAGATGTTTTTTTAACTCAAGTTTTATGTTACTGTTAAAATCTGTGCTTAATTGTGGGTATCATTGGATAAAAAATTTTGATATTTGTAGTTAACGCTTGTTGCGTTTCTACGGCGTTTCAGTATAGCTTTTTGAACATACCCTCTGTCTTCAGCTCTAGTACAAATCTTCCTTTAAACAATAGGCCGTCTTCTTTGTTGAAAGCTTTGTATTCAATTTTTGCGTGCCTTTTCTCAACTGAAAGATGGAGTTGCTTTCCAGTTAGTGTAACAAAGAGAATTCATCTAGTGCATTTGTAATAGAATATACATAAATATCCCTAATGTTTCAATGACTAAATTATTAATTGAGAAATGAGGATTTCATTCACGGAAGGTAGTGATGTAAAGTATCCGGGATTCAAATTACTTAAATTTGCAGTGATTTACCTTTTCAAACATACACTAGTGTCACAGATAGTGATTCATTTTTACCTTTTTACCTTACAGTTACTGTTAACGATGAAATATTAGTTTAACTTACTTGCACTTGTGATTTCCCTTGGCTGTAGAAGACTTTGAACTGTACTTTCACCGTAAGAGGTTTCCAAAGCTGAGAGGAAAATCTTGATAGCCTCTGTTCCTCTATGTAAAACTAATTTCATAAACTGCAAAGTTTCGTTTCTAAGACTTTCGCTGTTCTTGTGAATAAAATCAAGTTCTTCAGACAATATAATCCCAGTACTCAAAAGAGGAGTTTGTATCGCACGGATACTCACTATATCCAATAGCTCCGGTAAACTGTCCAAAATATTACCTTTGACTTGATCGATGTCTGAAGTTAAAAAAAACACATATACGTTATATAACACACATACACATTTGATGTTATTTCCATCTATGTTTAACAATGAGAAGTTGTTTTGCTGATGTAGTTTTACTCTATTCAGCGTTAAAATCTTCAGATTTTGTGCAAGTTTTTATTATATGATTGTTTGTTTTGTTTATCCTATATCAAAACCTTCGAATCCATCAAAAAATTAAAGATCATAAACATAAATGCTGTAATGGAAAATTTCTGTGTTTTGAATTTATCATTTTAAGAATAATTTGATTTCATTACCTATATCCTCATACTTCGCTGTATTTGGAAACATCTGGTCATAGATGTACGTGTTCTTATCTTTAAGTTTATCTACAACCACTTGAATTTTCTCCTCGGACTGGTTTTTGAGATATTCCAAGAAGAATTCAACGTTTGCAGCTCTTAAGCCCGGTTGGTTCATCTTCTCTAAAACTGAACTGAAAATGTCAGCAACTTCTTGCTCCTTTAGTAAACAACGCGGCTCCAGTTCCTCCAGTAAAAAGCCATGACACTTCTCCAAACGAGACTTGTATGTAGTCTCAAGTTTTCGGTGTTCAGCATGCAAAATATCCAATGTTGAGTCTGGAATACAAAAAATACAACTCTGGATTATTTCTGCCCATCTTTTTCCAAAGAGTACATTACATATATTTTAAAGCACTTCTGCCAATGAAAAATGCAAGTACTTTTCTAAAAGAAATAATATGTTTACCAATGAAGACAGACAGGTCTGATAATGCATCTTATATTACACATCTGTTTTCACGTACGCTGTATCTTCATTATTATTTTTTTAATGTACAAATAAACCATATACAAAGTACCTGCTGGTTCTTGCGCTACTCTGATCTGAACTTCTATGTTGTACTTTTCTTTCGTCAAAACTATTCGAACATCCCTGGATTCAAATAACTGTGCCAAAAATTTTGAAATACCCTCTTTTTCTATGAAATGTTCTAACTTTGCCATTGCGTAGGATGATTCTGTTTGAAGAACAATTATAACAGATCCTGTCGATGTTCCTTCAAAAGTAGAATGTATCCCTTGGGCAACCATTTCTTCCGAGCTTGGGATTTGTTTCATCACTTCCCCAAGTACTTCTTCATTTCCATCGTCATCTGATATTATTATTTTGATTTTTCTGATTTTTCTTATTTTCGTGTTAAGAGCTAAAAAAGAAATGTTGGATTTAATCAGATGTCAACACAAAATTGATTAAGTATTGTAGTTGATACATGTATGTTGGTTCATCTCGCTTCTCCTGATGTTTGCTATCATATACATAGAGAATAATACATGGAAAAATCTGTATCACACCTCATATATCAACCCGAGATTCCAATATCAGCCCGAGGATCGAAGGTACCGGGTTCGATTCTCAACAGTGTCACATTTATTTTCTTTATGTGAAAATAAGCTTGTTAAATTTTTCTAAGTACTCTCCTCGGTAGAGTTACGGGAAGAAGAATATGAACATAACAAATTCTGTTTTCAGTGTAATTTGCAACTCTCCATTCCTGAAAAATAATGGAGCTCTCAAACAAAAGAGTGACGTCACAGGTGGATTTTACTTTTTCCAAAGGCAATACATTCAGTGATAAGAAATGAAATAATTATAAATTAAACAAAAAATTATTTTGAATAACATAAAATATCTGATGAAAATTACAATTTAAATAAACTTCGTAAACAATAGAAAAAGATCCGAGGTACTCCAAATCCAGAGAAGTTCCGGAAAGGTAAAATAAAGGGTGTGATAAAGGGTGAAATAAATGGTGCTGATACAGGGTGTGTAATACAGGAACATGTGTCTGTGTTCATATCAGGGATGCAAAAATCCTGTATTATATATTGAATTTCCTTCGGTGTGAAAATGGTTTGAATACTATAAGGCCAAATACTATTTACATGTACGCTTACCTTTTTAACCCTTTTGAGGTATGAAAACTGTTACAGAACTTTCTCGCTGAAATACCATTGCTTACGACTCCACATATAAAGGAATCATAAAATGGTAGTAAGATTATCCCCTCAATATCAATATCGATCATTGTACTATCATTATAAACAAAGATTTCAATAATTTGATTGCTATTAACATCATTAATTATGAACATTCAAATGTTGGAGCTAGGCAAACTTTCATAACCTAATAACTGCTTAGTGATATGACGGGTCGTTTGTATAATATTTCTATTAGAATATTTATCTCAAATGTAAATACAAGTCCTTCTGGGTTCACAGGATTTGATCATGTGACCAATCAATTTCATCTCTCAGTGAACTTTTAAACCTTGTTATTCATTTCGTAAATTATTCATCTTTTAGTAAACGACACCAATATGGCTGAAAGAATCATTTCTCCATCTCTTTGGCCAAGGTAAATGTGTCATTATTTATTTATTATATATATTTACACCCCAGAGTATTTCAAAAACCTGTCTCTGGTCACCAGTCATGTGATAGGTCTGCTCCAATCGCTCAACGGAGTTTTGGCGGGAAAATAATTTTATAAAATTCAACAAAATTGTAAAATAGATTAACACAGACACTTTTAATAGCTTTGTAATTTAATATGTTTGTAAAACTTTTATTTACCTACCAATATTTCATAATTATAAGTGCATAAAAATAAAAACACAATTTTAAAAGTAATATATACAAAATTCTGATATGCTACAACTTGAAGAATAAATACCTTCCATGGAGCATTGATACACTTCACCAACCACAAATTCAACTCTCAATTGCTCCTCGTTTCCTGGAATTGAAAAAAAGTCTTTTGCATAAATGTCATATCACCATATCGATATTATTATTTCAATACAATACAAAATCATTAGTTCTGTCACCTGTTCGCTCCAAGTCAGTGTTATCAATTTCTTTCAAAAGATGAACAGCAAGATCATTCAATTCATACGTTTCCAGAATTGAAAGAAGCTTTTGATAGGATCCTGGCAATTTGTTTGTTATGTAATTTAAAAGCAAACTAGCTGCTGTAGATTTATTTTTTTCAGTCGATATTTCCTCGTGTTCATCCACATGAATAACATCTTCCTCTAAGAAATCGTCAACAATGCTGTCACTTTCATTTGATATTCTTGACTTGATTGCTTCCAAAAGTTCATCTCTATATTTTTCCAACGTTCTGTTCAAACTTTTGGTGTGTAGGACTTAAAGAAAGGGGACTTATTATTAATTTCATTTATAAATGAAGTTGCTGCTCTCTTATGTCATGCAATTAAAATTTTGTCGTTTATCCTACGTTTCTGTTTCAAAAAATTGCAAGGCACAACTGTACATATACAAGGGTTGTTAGAAAAGGTCGCGGACAAAGTGATTTACGTGAAATTTATTGTGCACTTTGAAGAATGGAGCATCTTATGTTTTAATAAAGGAGTATACAAAAAAGTTAGGTCCTTTTACAACTAGAACTGTCCAAAAGGGACAAATACCCCCCCCCCCCCGCAGGGTTTTCAGAGAAGGTGCCAAGTCACTAATACTAGTATTTGATGGATCCAAGATGTGTTCACAATTTGTTTAAACATTTAGAGTGAAAATTTACTGGTAATTGCTCATTAAATTTTTTTAATGAATGAAACTAAGGTGCAGCCTAATAAAACATCAATACTTATAACATATTTTTTATTACATTGAAAAAATAAATAACAATTTTTCAAGTATTTCTCTGTTGGAAAGTATGGATGCATTATTTATCATTTTTTCTACAGTGACTACAGGTCAAGATCATGACACACCCTCAGGTCATAAGCAATCTTTGTGTGAAGTGGAAACTCCCAACATCCCACGCAACATTATTCTCCTTAAGAAAGATACAGACCAGACATGAATTATGAACTTTTTTGCCTTTTAAGCAATCTTTGTGTAAAATGGGAACTCACCAAGTTTATCCATAAGAAAGATATGGACTGGACACGAATTATGAACTTTTTCTTTCAGTGACCTTGAACTTACCTAAATGACCTTGGGTCAAGGTCCTGACACACCCTCAGGTCATAAGCAATCTTTGTGTAAAATGGAAACTCACCAAGTTTATCCATAAGAAGGATATGGACTGGACACGAATTATGAACTTTTTCTTTCAGTGACCTTGAACTTGCCAAAATGACCTTGAGTCAAAGTCAAGACACATCCTTAGGTCATGAACAATCTTTGTGTAAAATGGGAACTCATCAAATTTGTCCATAAGAATATGGACCGGGCACGAATTATGAACTTTTTCAGTGACCTTGAACTGCCCATATGACCTTGGGTCAAGGTCATGACAAACCCTCAGGTCATAAGCAGTCTTTGTGTAAAATGGGAACTCACCAAGTTTTTCAATAAAAAGATATGGACCGGACACGAATTATGAACTTTTTCTTTCCGTGACCTTGAATTTGCTCAAATGACTTTGGTTCAAGGTCATGACACACCCTCAGGTCATGAACATTCTTTGTGTGAAGTAGTAGATTCTAATATTCCTTCGTAAGAAAGATATGGACCGGACACGTTTGCACAGCTGGACAGACAGACGGACGGACAGACGGACAAGGTGATTCCTATATACCCTCCCCAAACTTCGTTTGCGGGGGGTATAAAATCACATGCAAGGATTTTTACTTTGCGGTCATAGGATTCACGGTGCAGGACATTTTATGACGTTAAGTGACGTGACAAACTGATTACAAACCTATCAAGGTTTATAACAATTTTAAATATCTTTCAGTTATGTAGACTTTTTTGTCTTTTTCCCACTTTAAAATTTAATTACTAAAGCAAGAAATGTTACTTTTTCAAAAATGTCTTTTGTGGTTTATCGGATATGAGTGAGCTCCTAATATCAACCTCTATGCAGTTAAGCATTCAGGTATGGAAACAATGCAATGTAATGACCATGCTATAAGCGGGGTATCACAGGAGTTAATCATTTAATTAAAAATGTCAATTCTTCCATACTTACAAGGCTGCTACATATACCATTGGAACACTTTGATCCTAGATACGTGTACGCAATTCCCAGCAACATCTAAAAACATTTTAATCTTTTTTTTTTTGGGGGGGGGGGGATTTTCATGTTCTGCACACATCATTTCTTAACCCTTTAACCCCCAGAGACGCATTTGGACGCATTTTCAGCATCACAGATATTAAACTGTTGGCGTTTTCTAAATATTCAGGTTACAACAAAACAATTGATATTTTCTGAAACTAGAGAAGAACCTAAACATTTTTCCTACTCAAAGTTTTTCTGTGCGATGTTGAGAAATTTTCATAAACTTGAATTGAATATCGCATATCATAGCAGGAAGTTGATAAAACTACGCATAAATAACTAATTTTGTACTATCTTCTGTTGGCTTTATCTTAATCACAAACACAACAAAATAAAAAATGAATGCCATAACCTGAAAGCTGGGAATTTTCCCCACATTTTTTATTCCGGACATTATATGGTACGTGCATCCGTTACAGAGATATTTGTTGTTAAATATTGGAACTTTTACGAGTAAAACACAAAATGCACTATGACGTCATTTGACGTTTTACATGCACAATGAAACCGTTCGTGAGCTCAGTGTAAAACAAACTGGTTCTTTTGATATATGGAACAGATTTATTTTTTTAAAAATGAATTTTTTTGTAATGAATAGTTAGTGTGCGACACGTTTTGAGCCATAGACATGTAATAAAAGGAATTTCCCATAGCTTTGGGAGATATGTTTTATACATGTAGTAATAGTCTTTGGCCTAACGCCCCGATTGCGTGCACCCATTGTATCAGAAATCCCTGTCGAATTTTGTGTCAGTCCTACATGTGGTAGGAATAATTAATCAAATAATTAAATATTATCTTGGTGCTCCGAGACTTTCATGACGTTGCCATTCTTAGTCATAACTTCAACGATTGAATTCAAAATTTCGCGAAGTGACGTTTAATGAAAATTACAGCGACAGATGCAATATCGATAAAAACATCTTGATGCACTACAACTGTGCAGTTTGCTCCTTGACGCATTTTATATCTTAAAGATAAAGCTTTATATTTTTATAGTTCATCAAAAACATCAAAAAATTGTATATTTGAAAATTACTTTTTTCTGCAGAGTTATATTGGTTTGATGCGAATAGCGCGCTCATAGAATTTGTCCGCAAACTTTTCTAACAAACTATATGTTTTAAGGAAGTGATCTACACAACTTTGTATATATGCACAGTTTCTTAAAACAAGAGGCCCATGGGCCACATCGCTCACCTGAGCACATTGGTTAGGAAAAAGCACAAATCACTTCAGTATCGAAAAGTTTTAAGGGGGGGGGCTTGGATTTTCAACTACCTGAGAATGCCTCCATATCAATATAACAAATGGCTTTGCTGTTCTTGAGCAGGAAATTTTTAAAGATTTTTTCCCTATATATTCCCTTGTTAAAAATTTGATCCCCCATGGTGGACCCTCCCTACCCCCCTCCCCTCATCATTTGAACAAACTTGAATCTACACTACCTGATATGCTTCCATATCAATATGACTAAACATGGCTTTTCTGTTGTTGAAAAGATTTTTTTTCCTATATATTCCTATGTAAAAATTTGATCCCACATTGTTTTTCCCTAAATATATTTCTATGTAAACTATGATCCCCCATTGTGGCCCCACCCTACCCCCAGGGGTCATGATTTGAACAAATTTGAATCTACACTACCTGAGGATGCTTCCATATCAATATGACAAAACATGGCTTTGCTGTTCCTGAGAAGAAGATTTTTCAAGTTTTTTCCTATATATTCCTATGTAAAACTATGATCCCCCATTGTGGCCCCACCCTACCCCCAGGGGTCATGATTTGTACAAACTTGAATCTACACAACCTGAGGATGATTCCATATCAATATGACTAATTGTGGCTTTGTTGTTTTTGAGAAAAACAATTTCAAGATTTTTCCTACATATTTCGATGTAAAACTTTGATCCCCCATTGTGGCCCTACTGATTTGAACAAACTTCAATCTGCACTATCTGAGGATGATTCCATATCAATATGACTAATTGTGTTCTTGAGGAGAAGATTTTTAAAGATTTATTCCTATATATTCCTATGTAAAACTTTGATCCCCCATTCTGGCCCCACCCTACCCCAGGGGGTCATGATTTGAACAAACTTGAATCTACACTATGTAATGAAGGTCTCACATAAGTTTCAACTTTTACAGCCCAGTGGTTCTTGAGAAGAAGATTTTTAAAAGATACCACCAAATTTTCACTAATTCTTAATTATCTCCCCTTGAAAGAGGACGTGGCCCTTCATTTGAACAAACTTGAATCCCCTTTACCTAAGGATGCTTTGTGGCAAGTTTGGTTGAAATTGGCCCAGTGGTTCTGGAGAAGAAGTCGAAAATGTGAAAAGTTTACAGACGGACGGACAGCTAGACAGACGGACGACGGATAAAATGTGATCAGAAAAGCTCACTTGAGCCTTCGGCTCAGGTGAGCTAAAAATGAATTATGAGAAGCTTATAAGATTTAGTTTATCTATGAAAATATAACCATAAAATCGACACAAAGACATAATGGAAAATATCACAAAACAAGAATAAAAGTTTATCTAACCTCTTTCATTGGCGATTGAATCTTCGCTCGCCAAGGATTCAGAGTGGGGAAGAAGCAGAAAACAACGAAATCCTTGCTCCTGGGAATTTAGTTTTATCATTTTTGTGAACTCTGGCAAATGTCTTGGATGCCGTAACAATTTACGTAAAATGAAATCACATTTTCTCGCTCGAGGTTTTCCAATCAGAAAGGAATTTTCCTCTGTGTTCAAAATATTGTGTTGCACTAGAAAATCTACTATAGTATATGTATCCATTTCCCGTTTAAGATATTTATAGTTCCTCCTTATATGTTGAGTTTCTAAGATGACCGGACTTCCTGGATACCCACTGTCCTGTCGGTCGTACAGCACTGAACCGTTTTTCATACTGGCAAGGGTTGAATGCTGAAAACAAATGCTTTCATATTGTCGTTATGATATTAAAAAAATTTCTCAAATGATTCCTTTAGAAAAGACGAATCACTCAATAAAAATATTTTGACCCTAAAGAAAAAAAACAACTAAAACACAAATTTTCATATATTCAACGATTTATTTTATATTTCACTGTTAAAATTTAATCCTTTATTGTTTCCGCATTCTAAGGGTCATGGTTGGAACAAATTTGATTGGACACTATAAGAATATCAATCATGCAGATGTTTTTTTCATGTTAGTTCCTATATTGACTTTCTATCGTGGTTCCATCCTAGCCCCAAGGATGATTTGCAGAACTTTAAATCATAAATAATAAGGAAACTGTAACATCATAAGCACCTTATTTTCACTTTTTCTAATTATTTATACTAAATATCTCCTTGAGAACAGGTTACTAATATGACCCATTTTAATGCTCTTGGATCCTTTTAACTCAAAATGCTTCAGGGCAAGTTTAGTCTAGTGATTTGTAGAGACAACGTAAAAGTGAAAAGGTTAGGGACAGACAGACAGACGGACAAACTTTGATCAGAAACGCTCACTTGAGCTTTCAGCTCAGGTAAGCTAAATAAGATAAACAAATACATTGCAACGCAAGAAACTTAGACATACATTACCATGTATTAATCTATATTCGCTAGGGCGAAATATTGTGAAACTATGGAAGGGAATTACCGCCAAAAGTCTATTCATCTTGCGTTTATTCTTATTCTGCCTACTTCTTTATTCTTTGTAATTATTGTAACTATATGTCACTTTATTGTTTTCATATTCGTCTTTATTACATTTCACTTTGAACTTTTTTCATTCTTCATTTTGTCCTTACTTCTATGTTGCTTTATTCTTGTAAATACGTTCTTTTTTCTTTTAAATTGATACAGTTTCTTTAATAAATAATTATGATCATCTCTATTACAAATGTAAATTCAATCACGCAAACCATGAAGCGCATTCAACGAAGACGAATACAAGTAGTGTGAATTTAATGCGGCATTATAACGCTAGGTGGCAGGGTGTTCGCTGCGAGTGTTGGTAAAATTAGGTACATGTACGCAAACCCGGGCCGAGGTTATTCGAGATTTTTCAATTTTCTGCCTTAATATTTTATCAATCGAACCCAAATTTTCAAGTTATGTTAGTTATAGGATTTTTTGTATACGCGGTAAAATTGCCCCGAAATGCTCAATATTTTAGATTTTCTCGAAGATATTTGATTTCCAAGTTGGTAAAATGGGAAGGCAGCATCAAGCTGACATTTCTAGTGTTTTTTTTTTTTTTGTTGTTTTTTTTTTTTTTTTTGTTTTTTTTTTGTTGTTGTTTTTTTTTTTTTTTTTTTTTTTTTTTTTTTGACAAAAAGCTTATAAATTTATAAATTATTCTGATGTTAAACATTATATTTTAACTATTTATAAGCATTTCTTCTTTCAAATGTGTTATTTTTTTAAATAACACATTTTAAGAAAATCTGGATCATTAAAACCGGACCAATTATGAAAACTCCAAAATAATTGTGTATTTTCTGTCACCTGAAAAATATAACTCTATTCAAGTTTTTTGTTGGATGATTGAATTTCAGTTTAATTGATATAAAAAAAATCAAATATTTTGATAATTACTAGTATACCCTTATAAATTGAGTTGTTTTTCTGGACCCCTATATATTCTTCCACTGAACTGACATTTCTTTATTTCAGGATAATAACTGTTCATGCGCAGTCGCGTGATTCTGGCACCGGGGCTAGTCTGGTTTCGGCGAACCCATAATGCTCTGCAAAGTAGTGCGGAACGTCATGGGTAGGCGTGGCCGGTACCAGGCTAGACCGGGGCATACTAGAAACTTTCTCCGTTTTTTTAAAAAATATATATTAATTTTTTTGTATAGAAATAGCACTTTTCAATAAAGAAATAAATATCTCTAGTAAGCACACAGTGTTTGACATCAGAATAACTCAAAAAATTAATTTGTCAATGTCTCGTTTGGCAAAAAATACGTAAAATGTCGGCTTGATATTGCCTATCCATCTTAGCAAATTGGAAATCAAAAATCGCCAAAAATAATCTAAAATATTGAGATTTTCAAAATATAAATACATGAATATATATATTGGCAATTTTACAGCGAATACAGATAAAACTTAGAGACGTAGCATTGTTTTTGAAAGGGGCAGTCAGAGAAAAAAAATAACTTACCTAAAAATCTTAACAAAATCTTAACAAACAAAAAACAAAAAAAAAAAAAAAAGAGGAAAAATCTTCAAACTCGAAAATTCTATTTGGGGGGAGGGAGGTCCAACTTTTTTCAGTTCCAAGTTAGCTAGTCTTCCGGGGAAGTCTTACCATCTAGCCAGCCTTCAGGGGGAACGACACCGGGTACATGCCTGAACCTATAACATACATCATTTGAAAATTTGGGTTCGATTGATAAAGTATTAAGGCAGAAAATTGAAAAATCACTGATAACCCCAGCCCGGGTTTGCGTACCTAATTTTACCAACACTCGCAGCGAACACCCTGCCACCTAGCGTTATAATGCCGCATTAAATTCACACTACTTGTATTCGTCTTCGTTGAATGCGCTTCATGGTTTGCGTGACTGAATTTACATTTGTAATAGAGATGATCATAATTATTTATTAAAGAAACTGTATCAATTTAAAAGAAAAAAGAACGTATTTACAAGAATAAAGCAACATAGAAGTAAGGACAAAATGAAGAATGAAAAAAGTTCAAAGTGAAATGTAACAAAGACGAATATTAAAACAATAAAGTGACATATAGTTACAATAATTACAAAGAATAAAGAAGTAGGCAGAATAAGAATAAAAGCAAGATGAATAGACTTTTGGCGGTAATTCCCTTCCATATGAAACAGTGGTAATATGAATACAAAAGCTCCTTTTTTCAACAGAAGTTAATGAGTAACATGGAACTGTGCTGATGCCAGATCTTACCTTCAGACGTAACATTATGCTACTCTACTTTCACTTTGTGCGTACACAAGAAATCCTGCAAAATATTGTCTATGGGCTTCATTTTATATCCCTGTTTATACTTGTGTAGTAAACAAAAAACCTGACCAAAAAAAATGTTTAAATTTTATTTTGAAACGGTGCCAATATTTTATTGATCAATACCTTAAAGAGTTACAGCCGATCGATTCACCAGGTATACAAAATATATATCCATGTTTGAAGAATCCATAACTGTAACGAAATACCTCTCTCTTTTCTAGCTCATCTGAGCTAGCGGCAAAATTAATTAATCTTTCCCAAATAAAAGTTGCCTGATTGTCATTTTTTGCCTTCTTCGGAGCTAATTTTAGCCATCCAAGGTACAGATTCTCCCTTGTAAAGAGTCTTAAATTCATGCAAATGAGTTAATATAAATAAGTTTTCAAAAAGCATGATTAGCCTTTAAAATTGAAAGTAATAGAATGTATTTTTTTTTAATTGCAAAGGGTAATAAGACATAAGCAATTTTCTTGTTAAATATATCAACATTTTATTGGGTATTTTTGATGTTAGAATAAAATTTTCTGTGTAAACAATGTCAATAATTTGTTTGTGCGTGTTCACGTTATCAGATCAATAATATTGTCACAAAATCTTGGAAATTTGTATGTATTTGTGTGTATAAATTTATATAATTAATTTTTTTAATATTGTGCATTAAAAATTCCTTTAAAAAAACAAAACAAAACATTTCATTATGCATATGACCCCTCCCCCCTTCTCATCTCTAATTTAATATCAATATCAATGATATGATCCACTGATCGTATTAAAGTTTGACTACTAAAGATAGAAATTATAAATATAGATTGTTGAAGGATGCAAAGTCATACGAGGGTCATTAAAAAAAAATTCGTAGACTTTTGTCATAACTTTTTTCATTTAACGTCATATCATAACCAATTTTAGTAGACATATTTCAACAATAAATCCAATTGAGAAGGAGGGCGTACAAGGCAAGGACAATCCCTTCTCTGGGACAGTATAAGGTTCACGGAAAAGCTAACTTTTTCTAAAATAATGTTTTCCGTAATGTCATTTTCAACACATAGTTGATTCAGTTATTTTATTGAATGACTTTTTGATTGATATTTAGTGGAAAATGGGTTTAAAAAACCATTAAAAAAATGATTTTTGAATATGAATGGGTCAAGTCTCCATTCTTCATTAACGTTTAAACGACGGAAAAGTAAATGTAAAATCTATTTTATGTTTTTAAAAAATGGAGTCTGAACCCATTCTTTATGAAAATCGAATATTTCTGAAAAAAAATTACCCTTCAACGAACTTGTTTAATTTAAATCACACTGACACACAAAAAGACAAGCAGACGTCGTAGCGTAGTGGTAACGCGTTCAGTCTTACGCCTATAACCTTTAGCTTTGAAGACAGTTCGAATCATGCGTGAAGTTTTCTTTTCTTTTTCATATACCTAAAAACATTAGTGAAAAATAAATTATTTGTCAATAATTTATTCAACAAAATATAGGAAGCAAATGTGTAAAAAATTATATTGACAATATAATTTTTGAAAAAAAAAAAATAACTTTTCATGAACTTTTAAAACTGAAAAATATCTTCTCTCAGAGCGGGGGATCGTATGCGCCTTGCACTCCTTCATTCTTTGGTTAAAAAAAATTCACCTTTACTATGATATATCTTAATTATATCTAAAATTTAAGAAATGAGGTCACAGAGCACTCTAAAATCAAGTAATTCTCTATCAATACACTTAATGATGTCTATAGTTACAGTCCCTGAAACGTTCTACTTTCCCACTTGAACGGTGAACGAACGCTGAACGAACGCAGAACGAACGGTGAGCGAACGCAGAGCGAACGGTGAGTGAACGATGTGTGAACGCTGAACGCAACTTGGTGAACGGTGAGCAAACGCAGAACGCGAACGCGAGCGCAAAGTGATCGGTGAACGAACGGTTAACGCAAGATGAACGAT